TCTCCTTTTTCACCCTCTAGTCCCTCCGGTCCTTGGTGCCCAGGGTTTCCTTTTGGTCCGTTAGGTCCTCTTGGTCCAGTTGATCCCCGCCGCCCTTGAGGTCCTGGATCTCCTTGTGGTCCTTGGTCTCCTTTTTCTCCATCCGGCCCATTCTCTCCTGGTGGTCCCGGCTGNCCGTTTGAGCTACAAGCCTGAAACAAACTTCTGAAATATTTTCCAAACTTTCATATTTAATCTTTTTTCTTTAAAAAGAGTGTATTGATGAAACTTACTTGAACTGTGAAAACAGCGCAAATGACCAGTAGAAAAGCACTGAAAAGATGCATTGGTACTGAAAATAAAGTTCTTAATTTCCTCCAAAGCTTTAAATTTATTGAAATTTTATGAAACACGAAGGAAAAAAAATGTCAAAAGAATATTTAGGTCTCTTTAGGAGATCATTCTAAAATCGAATGAATCCTTTCTCTTAATTATAATGTACAATGTACAAGTGCACAAGATATGTGTCCATTCATTGGTCTATAGGATAGGTTTACAAAGATATTAGCTATTTTACCACATCTTCATTTATTCATTAATTCCTCCACTAGCAGTTCAGTTGGTTGTGGATGTAAAGTAAGCGAGCAATTATTTTAAAAATTAAAATAACTCTAGGTTATTCATTGATTGGCGCTAACAAAAATTGAATTAATCATATGTTGCAATTTTTCTTAGAGTCAAATCGTGACTGATAGATCAAAATTTAAAGACTCAATTTAAAGTTTGTAATACATAAAAGGTAAACCGTTATTGATTGTAGAATATAGAAATTCTACTTGTAAAAATTATGATATTGTCGGATATATGAGAAAAAGCTTCAGCACTTGAATTGAAATTTTAATGAAGTGAATTTCAAACAAGAAATTTTTCATTTATATTGGATATTCGATATGAATCTTTTCGAAATTCATAAAACAAAGAAACATTTCAAGAATTCTTTGTTGAAAATCTATCAAATATAACATTGTTCAATGTTGACAGTATCAATGAATGCTAAACAGACTTTTTATGTAACGATTGAAAGTGAACGGAAAGAAAATTCAGTGAACTGATGGAAAATCAACGGTTGATAAAGCATTCCAGGAGATGGAAGGAAGAATACGCTTGAACTCTCGAGTAGCAGAGATAATTTGGATATCGGATTACTGTTTGTCAGCATGCGCAACTGGTTGAAAACTTGTGTTCATAAAAATTTCTGATTCTGGTAAATCTCTTGTTTCTCTAACAGTTTTAATTTCATTCAAATCATCTTGAAATCTGTGAGAGCAATGAAACAATGTTATGATATGTGTGGTGTTTATAAATTTCTCCTTGATAAAACTTTTAATAAAATATTCATTCAATGAAATCCTACGAGTCATTCGTTGACCAATAAGCAAAATGGCCTAATGAAACTGTTATGCTTTGGGCATAACCTGCAATTGCTAATTATAATCATCTTTTGGATCAAACACTCCGAAGATAGTTAGTTTGCATTGTTATCATTGCTCATTTCTTATTTTTTATTTTTTTAATAGTATTTAATTTTATGAATGTGAAAAGAAGTTACATATACAAAAAAGAAGTTCTACGATAGTCATATATTCTTATATTATTGTTACTGATATGGACGATAATTGTTAGTGCTAAATTAAAACGAATCATCTCAAATGGACATCGGATTTGTCATCTCTTATGAATTTCAAAAATGAATTGTTTAATGAACCAGACCCTCACTTTCCATACAATAAGAACATTAGTCATTTCTCAAATTTCCAACGAAAGAGAAGATAGATTAGAAATGGCCTTTTGACTTTGAAGAATTTTATAACAAACTAAAAATTCTATGGAGCAAATGCAATTGTTAATGCTGATATGGTAAAGGTGTCGTAAAAATTTGAAATTGTTTTGATTTGGCTGAGGTGATTTGCCGACTGATTTGCTAAATTGTTGATCTGTTGACGATTTTGTGTAAAGATTTATTTGGTCGAGCAGGTTTTAGTGATTCAGATTTTTTATTTTTTCAATAGTATTTAACTTTTTTTTTTTATGCAGCAACAACCGTTGTGAAAATTTTAGGGTATTTGAGTTCTTAAACAGGTTGTTATTAATAAGCATGTGATAATACAATCAAATTGGTGACAAAGATAGCAGTACAAAAGAAATGTTAAGGATAAATCAGTGGATGTTAAGATTAATCATTTGATTAGCTTATATTTGAAGATGAAAAGGAATATTTGAGATAAACATTTAGATATGGAATAGTTTTTATGATGAGAATTTGCTAATTACATGAAACGCTGTAAACCGTTTTTATATTCATTACAAATGGTGAATCATTAGGAAATTCTTTTAAATTACCAATCATTTAATTATACAATTTCTTAAAAGAAATACAATTACTTGATTGTAGTTAGGGATTAATTTTGATTTTCCCGACAAAAAGAACGTGAACGTGACGTGATGAGTGTCAGTAAATCGATTGTGGAGTTAAATTCTTTATTCAAGGATCTTGCTTCTATGGTCGTTGATCAGGTACTTGGAATAAGCTAAAATGTTGAATGATTTTTGTAATGAAAACTATTTTATGGTTTATGAAATACATATAATTAGTAACCCAATTTCTATTATTATTATTTTTGCGGTGTAATTAGAACAAAC